TCACTTAGCATCCTGTCTTCAGGATGTTGTGGCCTGTATCAGAATTTCATGCCTTTTTAAGGTTGAAAAATATCCCATTGTATATACACACCACCTTGTATCTACCCAGTCACCCATTGGCAGACATTTAGTTTGGTGAATGTGAGTAATGCTGCTATGACCGGGGGTGTACAAGTATCTGTTCAAGTCTCTGCTTTCAATTCCTTTGGATACATACTCCAAAATGGGATTGCTAGGTCTTATGGTAATTCTTTGTTTGATTAACTAATTAATTACACATTAATTACACGTTAAATTCATGGGGTTTTTTTGAGGACCCGCCATACTATCCTCCACAGTGGCTGCAGTATTTTACATTCCTGTCAGCAATGCACAAGGATTCCAATTTCTCCACATCCTTGCCCACACTTGGCATTTTCTGTCTGTTTGCTTTTATTTATTTTTAAGATTTTATTTATTTGAGAGAGAGAGAGAGAGAGAGCAGTGGGGACGGGCAGAGGGAGGGAGAGAACCAGACTCCCTGCTAAGCAGGAAGCCCGAGATCATGACCTGAGCCAAAGGCAGATGCCCAACTGACCGAGCCACCCAGGAGCCCCTGTTTGTTTGTTTCTATTTTATTTTTTTTTTTAAGATTTTAAGAACATTTATTTGAGAGAGAGCGCAGAGTGAGAGAGAACACAAGTGGGGGGGAGAGGCAGAGGAGGAGGGAGAAGCAGGCCACATGAAACCACACCCATTGCTGAGCATTTCACTTCTGGTATCTGCACTAATCAGATCCAGGCAGCTTTTGGGGCACCTTGCCTTTTTGTTTTTAACATTTTATTTATTTATTTATGTAAGGAGAGAACAGGGGAAGGGGTAGAGGGAGAAGGAAAGAGAGGATCTCCAGCAGACCCCGAGCTGAGCGCAGAGCCTGACTCGGGGCTCAGTCTTACAACCCTGAGCTCATGACCTGAGCCTTAACCAACTGAGCCACCCAGGCACCCCAGGGGGCACCTTGCTTTTTGTGATGATTGATCCCAGGGCTGACCATCAACCTCTCAGAGGCATTTTCTGTTCACTTGTCCATTCTAGGTCAGTGTATATCAGACTTCTCTCTCCTTCGTGTGGATGCTGCCATCCCATACGACAACAGAAGAGCTCACTCAGCAGGTGTCTCCTAGTGGGTGCTTGCCCAGAAAATCCACTATATGGTGGCACTAACTTCTCCTAAGGCCCTTAGGAAGCTGTCCTTGTCATTAGGGTTGCTCACAAGTGTTCCAGTTTTTCCAGGCATGTGGAGACATCTCTGTTCTGCCCCCTTTGAAGTTAGGTCAGGTTATGGATTGTTCAATACAATGTGAGCGGAACTGTCACATGGAAACTCATATCGAGATGGAGCCTCTTCCCTGAGTGACTGGAAGGAGCAGACCACCCCCACTAGACATGCAGCATGAGTAAGAAACAGACCTTTGTTGTTATAAGCCACCTAAATTCGGGTGTTATTTTTTATCGCAACTTAACCTAGCCTATCCTTCCTGATATAGAAGCTATGAATGTCCACAGAGATCCAGAAGAGATCGAGAAGGACGAGCAGCGAGCAGCCTTCAGGATAGGAAGGAATTTCAGGATAAATGGGCTGATCCAGCTCCTGAATTCAGTGTGCTCATTCCAAGGTTGCAGATAGTTCTGAAAGTAGGCAAGTGCCCTTCATTCCTTTTTAGCAGTTCCTCTAGATACTGAGCGGTCTGGCCTATTTCTGAAACTGGTCTGTAGTCCTATAGTCCAGGCCCTCACAAAGAAAACCACACCACTGAGTGGTCCTAAGCCATCCACTTCCAGAGTGTCTTAGACAAAATGCATAAATAAGGTTTATGAGCCTGGCACTGGGGTGCTATATATACAGTGTAAGAAATGGTCTTTACCCTCAATAGGCTTTATACGGGTTGTCTCGTTAGTGGAGTGGGACCCATAATGTTTACATTAGAACTGAAGCAAGCTGGGGGGTGGGTGGGTGGGTGGGGACTGTATTGAACTGGTGAGTACATGTCTTATCCAAAGGGGCAGCCATTTGCTCAGGTCCAGTTGTTTCTTGTTCAAGGAACAGGGGCTCAGTATTGCTAGATTTCAGGAAAGTGGAAATCCATTTTTGCAGGAGAAATTTGTTGTTGTTGTGCCAAACTAAGCATACACATCTGGCTGGATTTGATGTTTGTGGATGTTGCAGTAGTCCTCAGGATGGGTTCTAGAGTTCTAGGTTTGAATCCTGGCTCTACCACAGGACACAGAGGAGACAATCCTGTGGGAACCAAGGATTTCCTGATAAGGTGGGAAATGGAAGGAGCCTCAGTACAGCCTCAGGCCAGTCCCTGCAAACTTAAGACCACACTACACTGGCCAGAGTTAACGTCCCGGACAGAAAAACCACACCCACCAAGTCTTCCACAGGGCCCTCTAACCCCTCTTCTCTCAAACACAGAAGAGAGAGGAGAGCAGGGGTGCTGGCTTGGGGTCAGAAGTGAGTAGTTTTCCGGGCAGAGTTGGAAGATCAAGAAGGCAGGTAAAAAGGCACAAAGGTGGGAAGCCTCATTTGCTTTGGCAGCTGAGACGTCTAGAGGGATGCTGGAGCTCAGGCTGGGCAGTACACACAACCTACAACTTCAGGCTGAAGAATCTGGCCAGGCTGCAGGACCTCAGTCAAATGGAGAATGGGCGCCCCCTGGGAGCAATGCTCGGTAGTGGACGCTGGAGGACTCAGATGAGGGGGGCGGGAGGTGGCGGTGGAGGAGGGGGTGCGGCTCAAGATGGGGGCCGACTGCCGGCCACAGTTTTCTTCTCACATCATCTAACCCCTTCCGGCATGACGGATTCCTGGGATCCCAGAAGAGCTGGGAAGGAAGGGACCTCGAAAAAGGAACTACCAACACGTGCCCCGTGTCAGGCCCTCAGCTGGGCACTTTCGTGAACATTGTCCTAACACACCTAACTCTACTTGGAGGTAGGTATCATTATCCCCATTGTTCAGATGAGAAAACCGAGGTTTGATGGCTTCCCAAGGAGGGGCGGGGATTTTGTATGACTTCAGAGCCTCTTCCCTGGAGTCCTCACGACCTGGAAGATACCGATTCCATGAGGTTTGGGGGAACAAGCATCCGGTGTGAGGCGCCCAAGCTTTCCGAGGGGACAACAGCGTGATGGTACTTTCGGCGAGAACCACGCCTCCCTTGTCGCGACAATACTGATTACTGTTGCTTTCCTTTAAGAGCCTTACCCTCAAATATGAAGTCCTTGCCACACGCGGGGGCGGACATTATATAGTCCTTAGATCTCCCGGACGTCTTTCTCCTTCACCCGCACTGAGCCCCACTAGTGACATAAATTCTACTCCTCCACTAGCGAGTGGAGGCGCGGGACTACAACTCCCGGCAGGTTGTTCAGAAGGAGGTGGTGGGGAGAGGAGGAAAGACACTCTCGCTTTCCGTAGGCTCGCAATTTGGCGTGTCCGCCGTGATGCACATTTCAACAGCCCACATCCTTTCTCTGGAGAGCTAAGGAAGGGACTACGTCCCCCATCAGGCACTGCCGCAGAGAACAAGCGCTGGGCCGCCATCATCATTGTAGTCCTTTCCCGCGTTTCTGCAAGGGAACAGCCCTAGTGCATGGACTACAAATCCCAGGTCGCCGTCCCCCTTCCCTTCGGCCGCCATCTTTGCTGGTTGTCCCCGCCCCTTTCCCCTTCCATTGTCTCGACCAAAGATAATAGAGCGGAGCTGGGAAGACTGCAACTCCCGTCAGGCTCTGCACCACCGGGAGGGGGATTTCGATGTTTCAGGCGGGCGAGGTGCCCAAGGTGGTAGAATGAAGCGACGGGGAGAGGCCAGGTAGCCTGCCATCTTTATGGTAGTCTCCTTATTTTCGTGGTTCCGCCATTCTTAAGGCACACTAGAAGACTAGAAAACTACTATTCCCATCGCACCTCAAAAGACCGACTACTAGTCAGGTGTACGCCCCTCTTCCACCATCTTGCTTGTAGTTCTCGTTCCTTTTCACCTTTCCATTGTTCCTGACGAGTAGAAATGGCAGCGGGAAGGCAGCAGATGGACTGCGACTCCCGTCAGGTACCACACACGCGGAGGGTTGTGGACAGGAGGGCGTGTGAGTGCCTGGGAAGGAGGTCGGGTCGGGGGAGAAGGCCATCTTGTTTGTAGTCATCGTTCCCGCTCCTTCTCTATCCTCTGCAACGGGGAGCCTCGGGGCAACCGGACTATAACTCCCGGCACCCTCGGCTCCCGGCTTGGCACGCCCTCCGCCATCTTCTTTGTAGTCCCCGCTGGCCCCAGCATCCCATTGTTCCCACGGTATCACCGGCGTCCGCAGGACTACGATTTCCGTCGTGCCCTGCGCGTGTTCGTCCTGGAAAGTGGAGGTGGTGGGGAGAGGAGGGGGCAGGGGGCGGGGTTCCTCTGGGAGAAGGAGGGAGTAAAGAGGAGGAGGAGGAGGGAAGGAGGAGGGAGGGGTGGGGGAAGAGAGGAGGAAGGAGGAAGGAGCTCAGGAGGGATGAGAGAGGCGGCCAGGGCCCCGGGCCGAAGCAGCGCGGGGCCGGGGGACCAGGGGGGCTGAGGCACCCCAACTGCCCCCTCCCCCTTTCCCTGTCCCCTTCCATCCTTTCCTTCCACTCTCCGGCTTGAGGAAGGGGATTTATTCAAATTTTATTTAAATCCCTATCTCTGGAGGGTCGCGCGCTGGGGGGAGGGGGAGAGGGCGGGGGCGCGCGCAGGCTGGGGGGGCGGGGCCGGAGCAGCTTCCTTCACCCCCCTCCACTCGCCCGGTAGCCCTAGGGCAGGGGGCCGCAGTCTAGGGGCGGGCCCAGGGGAGGGGGGCAGGTTACAGGGACCCCCCCCTCCCCGGGAACCGGCGGTGGGCGGGGCTTGAACCCCGGAAACGGTGGGGGGCCCAGGCCTGGCCCTGGACCCCTGGGCAGTGGGGGCCGGGAAGGGGCCAGTTAAAGGGCCGGGGGCGCTGGGGAGAGGCGGGTGGGGGGAGGGGAGCTGTGACTCGGACCCGGGACTGAGTGGGGCCCGGGCAGAAGCTGAGCACCCTGCGCCCGAGGAGCCCCCGTTGGCCTGGGGGGGCTGAGGGACTGAGCCCCCCAGAGAAGGACCTCCCCCTGGAAGGGCCGCGCCGCAGCCCGTGGGAGGGCCTCGCCCCCGGCGCCCCCCATCTCCACTCGCCGCCGTCCCGGCCTCCGCCGGAGGGAGGGGCCGAGCGCCCTCGGGGGGCCGTGGACCCCGGCGTTCTGAGCGTTCCGCGCCCCGCGCCGCCCGGCCCCCCCGCCGCCGATGGCCGCCGACCCGCCGGGAGCTGCCGAGAAGGGAGAGATGGCTCCCGGGACACGTGTGAGGTGGGTTCATGCGGCTCCTCCTCACCCCCAGACCTGGGCAGCTCCCACTCCCATTCATCCTCAGCCCGGCCTCTCTCTACCTTCCCCGCCCCCAGCCTCGCCCTCTCTTTGCTCCAAACTCCTCTCATCTCCAGCCCTCCTTCCTGTTACCTCTCAACCCTGGGGAACTGGCCTTCCTTCCTAGACCCTGCTTCCCCTTGCAGACCCCCATCCCCGCCTGCAGTCGCCGCCCTCCAGGCCCCTCCCCTGGAGCGCTGGAGGGCCCCTTCCCCCCATGGATGGGTCTGGAAGTCCCTGGAAAGGGGGAAGCTAGGGTAAGACTCTGGCCACGAAGAGACCCCCTCCAGGCTTGCTGAGTCTGTATGGGATCTTGGAGGATCTGGTTTCCATGGGAAGGGGAGCCCAAGGGATTCTAGACAATTAGGGATGGAAAAGTAGCCTGGGAAGCTTGGGGGTGGGGGAGAAGACATGTAGGACTGAGCCCATCCTGAGTTCTGTGGAGATGTCATGGTGGATTCTAGAATCCCAGGGAATCTGGGAGATTGCCCAGGCTGACCTGAGAGATCCAAGAGGAGAATGTCTTGGGGCAGAGGGAGCTCTGTGGGGAGCAGAGCAGTTGAGATCTTGGGCTGAGGAGGGGCTCTGAAGCAGCATGGGAGGGGGGTGTCTCAGAGCCCTGGGGATGGGGGAGGGCAAGCATCCCATTGGATCTGTTGACAATGTATAGGTTTTGGGGGAAGAGAGATTGAGTGGTAGTTGTGAGAGAGAGAGAGAGAGAGAAAGGAGAAAGGAAGAAAGGTCTAGAGCTTCTACCCAGGAATTTGTGGGTATCTTGGAGGTAAGTCTGGGGGAATTTTAGGTGGAGTGCATTTGGATACCAGGGGAAGAGTTGGGGCCTCTCTAAGGTAACTCCACGAACTAGGAGCCTGGCTTTCCAAGGAGCTTTGGTGTGGGGATGTCAGTGCAGAGTCCCCAGTCCCTTTCCCTCCCGAGTAGGCAAGGGGATGCTGAGGAAGTGTTAGAGGAAAGAGGAGTGAGGTCGGGAAGCCAGTTCTCAGGTTCCCAGAGGAGCCAGGTGAGCGCTTTGGAGAGAGAGGCCTTGAGTAGAGGGAGTGGTGCCCACCCCCTGACCCCAGGAGGGATAGTCTCCTTGTTCCTTGCCTCCCCGGCGTAGGAGAGCCAGCTCTGGCTGCCTAGGAATGGGGGGAGCTACCGGGAGTTTCCCAGGCCAGGGCCTCAGTGGGCCCACCTGACCCTGCTTTCGTTCACCCACAGCCCTCGGCGTTGCTGACGCCCCCAATGTCGTCGAGCAGCCGGGGGCCGGGGGCCGGAGCGCGCCGACGCCGAACCCGCTGCCGCCGCTGCCGGGCCTGTGTGCGCACTGAGTGCGGGGACTGCCACTTCTGCAGAGACATGAAGAAGTTCGGGGGGCCCGGGCGCATGAAGCAGTCGTGCCTGCTCCGGCAGTGCACTGCCGTGAGTTCTGCCCCCAGCACACCCGACACCCCCGGGGCTTTGGGTGCCCTTCCCCAGCCGGCCCACGTACCTTTCTGGGCCAGCTGCTTCGTAGCACACACTGTAGAGTTGCTGTCTGTTCAAATATCCACCAGGGCCATTTTTGTCTCCACTTGCGAGTGGGGGGCGATGTTAGGGCACCCAGAAGAATCTAACCCTGTGCTTACCTTCGCGTTTTTCCCGGCTTCAGAGGCACAGACCCATAGAGAGCTCAGCTCAGCCCCTCTTGTGCTCCTTCCTGGAGGAATCTGCGCACAGGGGCGTACTTCCAGAGCTGGCCCAAGGGAATAGGTCTTAGCCTTCTGGCCTCTTCCTCACCTGCCAGAGTGGTCTCGGATTTGAGGCCAGGCTCTTACCCTTTGTGTGACCTTGAACAGACACTTTGAACCTCAAGGTACCTTTCCTGTGAAAGATTTCCTTTGCTGAGTCGTAAAGATGAAGCAAGAACATGGATGTGAGTGTGCCCAGCACACAGTAGGTATCAGAGAACATGAGTTTCTTCCTTTGAGCCCCCTTTGTGGCCCTTCTCCAGCAGCCTTGAGGAGCCAGCTGCATCCTGCACCCCCTCCTGGAGGACCGCCACCTCCTTTTTCCTCCAGCCCCTCTGCTGCCTCTTCACCCTACAGCCCCCCTCTTCTCTTTCTTTGTTCTCCAACCCTTGCCTCACTTTCCTTTTCCTCCTTTCCCTACCTCCTTTTTCCTTGGGCCTGTCTCCCAACCTTCAGCATCCCTCACGTGACTCTGTATTACCCTGCCTTCCCCCCCAAAGTCAAGTTGTCTGAGGGCTGCTCTCCCCTAGGACCAGCCAGCTGCCTTTAGCATGCCCAGGAGTCTTGCCAAAACCTGATTCATTGTAGGGTCCAGAGCAACCCTTGGGCTGCCCATTGTGCAAACTCAGAATCATCCCAAGCTGCGGCCACAGCCCCTGCAGCTCTCTTGCTCTCTCTTTTAACAGTGTTGTCCTGTTTGCCACCGTTTCTATCCTTCCCCAAAGCCAGCAACAGTTTCAGGGTCACACACACACACAGACCCCGACTCCAGCTGCAACATTTGCAACAGCAATAACAACTATGTATCCAGTGCCTCCCTGAGTGATCACATTCTTCCCGAGGTCTTGCAAAGGAAAAATGCCTAACCCCATTTTACAGATGGAGAAACAGACGTAAGGAGGTTAAATCACGTGCTCAAGGTCATACTGCCGAAAAGGAACAGATTCAAGATTTGACCTAGCTTGACCCATGGGTTCTGAACCTCATCCAGCAGCTGGCCAGGCTCCTGAGAAGAAAGGGTCTTCCCCCTGTCGCTTGCTTTCGGGGTCCCTAATACTCCCTCTTCCCCAACAGCCCGTGCTCCCACACACAGCTGTGTGCCTCTTGTGTGGGGAGGCTGGGAAGGAGGACACAGTAGAGGGAGAGGAAGAGAAATTTGGTTTGAGCCTCATGGAGTGTACAATCTGCAATGAGATCGTCCACCCTGGCTGCCTGAAGGTGATGGCCCTGGGGGCCCTGGAGTCTGAAGGTGATGGCCCTGGGGAGCGCTGCCTCTGGGTTTACTGGCACCCTACATCCACTCCCTGCCCTCTGCCTACAGATGGGGAAGGCTGAGGGTGTCATCAATGCGGAGATCCCTAACTGCTGGGAGTGCCCTCGCTGCACCCAGGAAGGCCGGACCAGCAAGGTAGGGGTAGGGGCTGGGCTGGGTGCTGGGTTCTGCGTAGACGGTGGGTTGGGGAGCTGGAGAGAACCTCAACCCCAGCTTCCATCTCCCCAGGATTCAGGTGAGGGACCAGGCCGCCGCAGGGCTGACAACGGCGAGGAGGGCGCCAGCCTGGGGAGTGGATGGAAGCTGACGGAAGAGCCGCCGCTTCCACCACCCCCACCTAGGCGCAAGGGCCCCTTACCTGCTGGGCCCCCCCCAGAGGACGTGCCTGGGCCCCCCAAAAGAAAGGAGAGGGAGGCAGGGAATGAGCCCCCCACCCCAAGGAAAAAGGTGAGCCAGGGAGCATGCTTATTAGGTCCAGCCCAAGGGATTCTGGGAGCGGTAGTCTAGTTCCTTTTTGGGGAGGGTGGGCCTGGGAGGCTGTGCTCTGTGGGTTCTCCAAGGGGTTGTTGGGGGATGTAGTTTAGGAAATGTTGGGCGGGGGAGGGTGGAGCATGCTCGGTAGGGAGGAGAGGTACAGGTGAGGGGCACCTGGCCCTGGGCAGGGAGGCTTTGGGAGCCCTGGGTGCTTCAGGTAGGAGGGAGAGAGCATGCTCAAATTAGCTGCTACGGAGGAGGAAAGGAGGGGCTGGAAAGGGCCTGAGGGGGAAGAAAGAGAAGAGGAGAGCATGCTCAGTGAGCCAAGACACTGGTTGGGAAGGTGAGCATGCTCAGAGTTCTTCCTGAGATGTGGGCTTCTGGGATTTGTAGTCTAAGAAGCGAGCATGGATCTTAGTTTTGTGGACGATGAGGGGCTAATGGGGCCTCTCCCTTTCCCCATATTTCCCTCTTGCTCTGATAGGTGAAAGGAGGCCGAGAGAGGCACCTGAAGAAGGTGGGTGGAGACGCCTGCCTCCTCCGAGGATCGGACCCAGGCGGCCCCGGCCTTCTGCCCCCCAGGGTTCTGAATCCGAGCCAGGCTTTCTCGTCCTGCCACCCTGGGCTCCCTCCCGAGAACTGGGAGGTGTGCCGGGGACCTCCACCCTCCCCCTCCCATCTTTCCTTGCCCCACCCTCCACCCTGGAGACAGAGATCTGTCCCTTCCTGCTCACCTTGTCCTGCCCCTGCCCCATTTGGCCACAGTGGCATCTGGACCCCTGGGAAGAGTGGAGGGGGAGAGGTGGGTTGGGGCCAGGCCACAGGACTTTCCAGGAACCCCTGGGGTGTCGTCTGACCCATTTGCGTCATCTTTCCAAACCTTAAAGGGAAAAGAACTGAGTTCAAATCCCTGCCCACTGACTCCCTGTGTGGTCTTGGCAACTTGTCAGCTGCTCTGAGCCTCGGTTCCTCATCTGTGAAGGAGATGATACTACCTACCTTATCCACCCATCCCACAGAACTGTTTACATCTAATGAAAGTAAATGAGATTTGTGAACTGTGAAATGTACTTAGATTTGAGGAAGATGAGGCCCAGAGAGGTTAAAAGACTTGCCCAAGGTCCCACAGCAAAGCTAGGATTCAGATGTCACTGTGCACTGACACATGAATGCAAGGGTCTGCCTGATTATGTTCAAATCCTGCTTCTGCCATTTGTCAGTTTGTAGCCTTGGGCAAGTCACTTGGTCTCTCTGAGCCTCAGTTTCCTTGAGTGTAAGGAGAGTGGTCCAGGTTGCCACTCCGTTGGAGCGCTGTGAGGATGTGGGTCCGTGAGTATGAGGTGCTCTGTCATTCTCATATCGTTGAGTAGACACTTGGAATCACCTAGTCCAGCGTTCCGTATTGTAGATGATGAGGCCGGGGCTTCCCAAGTTCACACAGAGAGGTGGTAGCTGAGTTGATACTCAAAACGACATCTCTAACTGTTCTCCGTATTTCACTGCCTTTGGAAACTCATAAACTATTGAAACCTGGAAGGCTTCTAATTCTTTGAATCAGTGCCTTCACATGACAGATAAGGAGACTGAGGTCCAGAGAGGGACATGCTGCGGCTGAGGCCTCACGTCGTTCAGGGGCAGAGCCATGGCTGGAGCCCAGGACTGTTTCTCGGGCTGCTCATCCCCTGCTGACTCCTCAGGACAGGGAGGTGGGCAAGCACGTGTCGGGCCCTAGAACAGCCTCCCCCCATCTCCTTGCAGAAACCAAAGCCGCCTTTGGCCTCTGCTGAGGGCCCGGCCGTGCCATCCCCGTCCCCACAGAGGGAGAAGCTCGAGCGTTTCAAGCGCATGTGCCAGCTACTGGAGCGGGTCCCTGACACCTCCTCGTCCTCCTCAGACTCGGATTCCGACTCTGACTCTTCAGGCACATCGCTCAGTGAGGAGGAGGCCCCTGGCGAGGCCCGGAATGGGCGACGGCCAGCCCGGGGCAGCTCGGGCGAGAAGGAGAACCGCGGGGGGCGGCGGGCTGTGCGCCCTGGCAGTGGGGGGCCCCTCCTCAGCTGGCCCCTGGGCCCCGCCCCACCGCCCCGGCCCCCACAGCTGGAGAGGCACGTGGTCCGGCCCCCACCTCGAAGCCCTGAGCCCGACACACTGCCTTTGGCTGCTGGATCCGACCACCCGCTGCCCCGAGCTGCCTGGCTTCGTGTCTTCCAGCACCTCGGGCCCCGAGAGCTGTGCATTTGCATGCGAGTCTGCCGGACTTGGAGCCGCTGGTGAGTGGCCTGGACGGGCCTGGGTTCCCGCTTGCCGTATGACCTGCGACAGCCAGTTATGACCTCTCTGGGGCTTGTTCTTACGTTGATCATACTCCTGTAGTATGGATGTTTTCTAGTCTGATATTTCCGTATTTGCTGCGTGCAAAGCCACTTTCCATTGTTTGAGCTCATTTAACTCTCATAACAACCTTGTGAGGGTAGGTCCTATTATTCCTTTTTACAGATGAAGCTGAGGTCAAGGTTGTGGAGAGGAGATAGTGGAACCAGGAATTTGAACCCAGGCCCCATGGCTCCAGAATCTTTGCTCCTAATAACCGTCATTTATGAGCGTTAATGTGGCAAGCAGGGTGCTAAGTGCTGTCGCACATCACCCAGTTTGCTTTGCACAGTCCTTTCTCTGAGGACGGTCTCACTAGAGGTCCCATTTACACATGAGAAAGCTCTTTGCTGAGGTGGCCCCTGCCCTCTCAGAGGCAGCCATACTTCAGGCTCCTGACTCCCCTTGTCACTTCTCTATGCCCTGGAGCTGCCACCAGCTCCCTCTGCCTTTCCTCCCCCCATCTCCCCGCTGCTTCCTAAACCTTGCTTGTTCAGACATGTCGGTCATCCTCCCAAGCCTCTGGTCTCCCTCTTCGATCCTGCCCCCAACAAAATCCTCCCCCAGTCCCATCAGACTCCCACAGCACCCTGTACGCCTCACAGAGCACACAGAGGCCTTCACTCATTTATTCACGCTCATGTTCTCATCGCTTGTTACAGTGGGGCAGATACTGTGTCTGTTTTATCTGCGTGTTCCCAGCACAGGACAAGGGCAGTGGAGGTGCCCAAGAAGTAGTTCATTAAATGAGTACATTCAGGCTCTTTCCCAGGCACATCCTGTGCAGCAGGCGTCCTGGTGGGCACTTTGCAAATTGTGGGCTGCCTCGTTCCTCATAATCGCAGCCCTGTGGGAGGATGAGGGACACCTGAAGTCACAGCACAAGCTGGTGGCTGAACTTGAACTCCACTCCTTTTCCTTGGGACTCTGGGGCACTAGCTCGCACCTCTGGTCTCTGTGGAGGCTGGAGAGCTGAGAGGAAACTGAGCTGAGAGGAGTGTGCGGGCTCTGGAGGCAGATTGCCTGTGTTTGAACCTTACTCTTCCCCTGATAAGCTGACAGCCACTGGCCTAGTTTCTTAACTTCTCTGTGCTTCAGTTTCTTCTTCATCTGTTAAACCAGGAGAACCAAAGCATTTACTTCGTAGCGTCTTTATTTTTATTTATTTATTTTTATTTTATTATGTTATGTGAGTCACCATACGTTACATCATTAGTTTTTAATGTAGTGATCCACGACTCACCGTTTGCGTACAACACCCAGTGCTCCATTCAGTACATGCCCTCCTTAATACCCATCACCAGGCCAACCCATCCCCCTTCCCCTCCCCTCTAGAACCCCCGGTTTGTTTCTCAGAGTCCATAGTCTCTCATGGTTCATCACCCCCTCCAATTCCCCCCCTTCATTTGTCCGTTCCTACTATCTTCTTTTTTTTTTTTTTTTAACATATAACGTATTAATTGTTTCAGAGGTACAGGTCTGTGATTCAATAGTCTTACACAATTCACAGCACACACTCTCCCCAAAGTCGTAGTGTCTTTATGAGCTAATGTACATAAAGAACCAAGGACAGTACCCAGGAAGTAGAAACTACTCAGTGCCCTAACTGTAACCTGTATTATTCGTTCAGTTACAAATACTGACTGAAAGCACAGACTTTATATCTTCAGAGTGTGGGCCTGGGCCCTTGCAGAGCTCCCAGTTAGCCTGCAGCATAGAAGCAAAGAGAGCAATTGCTGGGGATCCCCACCCCTGCGCATGTAGTGTTTGGGGATATGTTGCTCAGGCCTCTTCAAGGCCAGCTCTGTGCTTGGCACATGGGATCCAGGACCGAAGAGGACTTAATTTCTACCTCAAGGAGAGACTTGTGACCGGAAGTGGATGAAGCAGAGAGGCTGGACGGCACAGTGATTTTCAGCTTGGGCCCTGGAGTCTGGCACCCATGGGTGTCATCCACGGTGACTCGTGTCCTGCTTGAATATGTATAGCCGTGGGTGGATAGCTCTACCTTTCAAGGCTTGTTTTCTCATCTGTAGTCTGGGGTTTATACTAATACCTTGTGGGGATTAAATGAAGTGGTTCTTGCAAAGCACTTAGCACAATACCTGAGAGGTACTAAACACTCAATAAAATGGTCGTTTTTGGTAAGGACGAGGGTAGGGCAGAGCAGAGGTACAGTGGGACCAGTCAGGAGGCTTGGAGGCTGGAGGGGTAGAGAGGAGGGACTGGGGCTGAGAATTTTTTAAGAAGCAGAATGGCTTGTGTTTGGTACCTGGGCAGCAGGGTGACGACTCTTCAGCTGAGTTTCTGGCCCACAAACCTGGGTGGGCAGGAGCACTATTCCCCAAGCTCGGGAATACCAGAGGAGGAGCAGGTTCCAGGAACGCGAAGTGCTCAGATTTGACATGTTTGGTCCGAAAGGCCTGTGGGCCAGTCAGGAGCTAGCAGGACGGCAGATGCATGTACAGGTCAGATGCTGGAAGGATCCAGGTTTGGAAGTTCTCCCCCTGCAGGTAGCAGCTTCCAGAAAGAGGAGAGAAGACAGAATGTCAGTATCTGTGAGTTAGAGAAAGACCAGCCAGAGACACGAAGGAGATGGTGGAAGTGTCCCGCAGGGGAGAGATTGAGGAAGGAGTGAATGATAGAGTGTAGGATGTTGGCAAGAGGTCGTGGGAGACCAAGGACCACAAGTGGCAGTTGGATTTGCTACATGAGGCCCTGGTGTCCTTGGCTGTGCTACGTGGGAGTAGGGCACCAAAGCCAGGTCACATGGGGTTGAGAACATCAGCTCCAAGAAAGGGACTTGATCTGTTCGTTGCTGTGTCCCTAGTTTCTAAGATGGCGCCCGGCATCCAGTAGGTTCTAAGACATTACTGGATGGATGGATGGATGGATGGATGGATGGATGGATGGATGGAAGTGAGGAAACCAAGGTGGTGTGTGGAAAGAGGCAGTGAGGGTGGAGCCAGAGAGAAATTTGTAGGTGGGAGAGCAGGAAGTTGCGGGCTTTCCTGTCTGGTGGCTTTTATCTCCTCTTGGAACTGGGAGGCAAAGTGAATGTACCAAGAGCAAGGGGAAGGGGGCAGGCAGAAAGCATGGTAGAGTTGTTGAGGCGCAGAAAAGAGGGTTGGAACTTTGGGGGACATGGGCAGAGGGTGGCGAGGAAGGGACTGGACCCCAAGGTCAAGGCCAGCTGGGGCTGGGAATAAAGGCCTGGAGACTGGTGGATAGGAGGACAGTGGTCGCATCGGGGAGCCCAGAGAGCTGAGAGTAAAGAACCAGGCTGTGAGCTCCTGCCTGGCATCAGTTGGGCTGGTACATCCGCATCCCCAAAGGGCCTCTGCAAGACAGAGGCTTAGGACCAGAATTTCGGATTTGGGAGGTGGGCTTAATAGGGGGCTGACTGGGTCGGGGTGGCCGGAGGCTAGGGTAAAATGAACTGGGTTAGGGAACTCAGACATCAAGCCCTGATGCCCCCGGATGACGGCAGGCCGTGCCTCTTAGCAGTTCTTCCTACCCCTCACCTTAGTGTCATTCCGCAGCTTGGAAAGGACCCATGCATGGTTCCCTGCTGCCCTCACAGTGAACTCCCACAGCCCTGCTAGACATTTGCACACGTATAGTACCTCAGTGACTGCACTGAATGACGGTCCCGCCAGGCATTGCAGCCTCCTGGCCACGGTGTGCCACCCCAGCCTCCTCTGCAGTCTCCCCCCTCCCCCTTCCTCAGACACAACTCAAGCGCTCAGGCCAGACCAGCTTGGGTTAAAGCCTGGTTCTGCTGCCACTTAGTAGCCGTGGGACCTCGAACAAGTTTCCCAACCTCTCTGGGACCTCATTTTCCTTAACTCTAAAAAGGAGGTTATAGTAAAAGTATTTACCTCCTAGGGCTGTTGTGAGGTTGACTGCCTAATGCACAGACCAGTACCTGGCCCATAGTAAACCTTTGATAAACACTAGGTATTCATGCTGTAGTCCTCCCCATCTTCCTCATTATTAAGGTGAGGTGTGGATTGCCCTTTGTTCCTGCTGCCTGAATTTCTCAGAGCGCTCCGTTTTCTCTCTCTGTCCCAGGCCTGGATGCTGGTTCTTCCCCATCTGGAACATACATCGTCTTCCCACTTCTGTCTCCCTGGGAGGCGCCCTGTCCCGTCCTCTTGTTGACTCTTGACTATATCCCTTGCTGCTTCAGTTACCGTGGACTGGCTGTGTTTCCCCCGGTTTCCTGACAGTGCAGCGGAGGCTGGACACTTAGGATCTGTAGGGCCCTGAGTGATTATTGGCTGCCACTCTGAGGTTTAAACCCAGTGTCCTGGTCATTCAAGGGCAAAGGGACCAATTAGTTCAAGCCAAGAAAAGTCATGGGAGACTTCCTGGAAGAGGAGACACTGGGGCTGAGTGTGGAAAGCTCTCGGTTGGTTGGCATTTCAGGCAGAAGCACAACATGTGCCAATATATGTTGGCACCAGGCAGCATTGTGTGTCTATCGGCAGGCAGGTAGTTCGATGTGGCTGTTGTGGAGTATGATACAGAAGCAGTTGGGGGCCTGTGTGTGCCCCCAGGGGGGAAGGGTTCCCTTCTAGCCATGGAAGATCCAAGGGCTTCAGGGTGATCGTGGCAGTTGAGCTGAGACTCAAGCCTGGGTTGGAGTGGGCAGGATTTCACCGAGGGGAATGAGAAAAGGGGCAGAAGCTCGGTTGAGGGTAGGCTGGGTTTTTTCCTTTTCTGTTTTGTAATCGGAGAGATTTGCAAGTGGTTATTGGTCGAGTGGAAGGAACCAGGAGGAGAGGCTATAATACCAGGAGGGGGGAAAGGGGGAAGAAGCGGCAGGCGGCACCGAGAAGTGGGGTTGTTTGGATTGAAGCCTTAGTGTCTGTGCCCCCAGTAATTCCCTAAAATGTCAGATGGGGCTCTGTGGAGAACGCCTGGCAGTTTCAAGTGGCGCAAAACCATGGCTTAATCCTTGTATTAGTTTTGAAAAGGAAGTGTCTCCGCTGGGTGCTATTGTATGTTTAACATCTCTGTAATACTTATCTCCCTGCTTAACAAAAATAGTCTTCAGGTGGTAGCCTAAAGCCTAATAGTCCCGGTCGGTTTTTATTGTATGTATCTCTAAGGTTAACATTTTTATGTGAAGCAATACTGGTTTTTTTTAATTAATTAATTAATTTATTTATTTATTTATGAGAGTCAGAGAGAGAGAGAGAGGCAGAGGCAGAGAGAGAAGCAGGCTCCCCGGCGGGACTTGATCGCAGGACCCTGGGATCATGACCTGAGCCGAAGGCAGACGCTTAACCATCTGAGCCACCCAGGTGCCCCAGCAGTACTGGTTTTAAGTGCAAGGAGGGGATCTATTGAAAGATAAATTCACGTTCTGAGAGAAGGGGATAGCACCTAACTGGAGTTGGTAACCACTGCTCCAGCCCCGAGCTTCTCGAAGGGAAAGCGCTCAGAATGGGGTGGTGGGAGGGAGGTCAGACACAGCTTCCTGGGCCTTCCCCACCCCTGCTGCTTCTGACACAGTCCGTGTAGCCCAGTGGGAATTTCCTGACATGCTTTTGAGAACTGGAAGAGAGTTTTCAGACTAAGTCTCGAGGAACTCTAGTGTGCCACAAAGTGTTCACAGATGACCTTGGGAGAGGTGGGGAAGGGTTCCTTGGTAAAATAAGTTTGGGAGGGCCTTCTCTGGTTCACTGCATGTCGGACCCGTCAGGGCTGTCAGGGACCAGGAAAGCTGTTTAACTTTGTGTAGGCCTCATTCGTCTTTGGAACTTTGATTCCTGGGCCCTACCAAGCCTTCCATAAACATTGAGTGGATAAGTGAAAAGCTGTAGATGATGTGTATTGTGGGGGAGCGCTCAGTGGAAGCTTCAGGGACTTCATGCCGGCTTCGCACCATTCATTCATGCAACAAATGTGCAACGGGTAACCCCTGGCACAGTGCTAGGTACTGGCGCTACCAAAGGGGAAAAGCCGTCCTGCCCTGGTAGGGCCTACATTCTAGTTGGAGGGACACAGTAACCTGAGACAGGAGGTAACAGGGCCGTAAGTCGAGCCTTGGGCAGCTGGCCATCAGAATGGGCCAGATGTGGCTCAAAGGCAGAGATGAATAGAGGAGATGAGATGTTCCCACGAGTCACCATAACTTAGCCAGGGAGAACTCCAGAGGCACAAGGTGGGGGTGGTGGGGGCTGCTGACAGATCCCTTTGGTGTTACATCAAATACAGTGTGTAGGGTGTTTGTGTCTTTGGCAGAGTGCTTTATAAGCTGTAAGGTCTAAAAACTGCAGCGACCTCATTTGATCTCACAGTAGCCCTGTGGGGCAGGCTGAGTCTGGGTCATTATCTTCATTTTACAAGTGGAGCGTCTGAGGCTCAGGGAGAGGAATGGACCTGCCTGGGGTCTCACATCCAGTTAGTGATGAAACTGAGCCCCAAACCCAGTGCCCTTGGCCCGAGGCTGGGTACTTCCTGCCACCCCTGCTGTCTTTGTGGGCCAGGACAGAGCTGTGGCGGATGAACTCTTGAAGTAGGGAGTTTCGCAGGCTCCCTAAGAGCTGAGGGCTCTGTCTCCCTCTTGTGGCTGATAGGTGCTATGACAAGCGTCTGTGGCCTCGAATGGACCTGAGCCGGCGAAAGTCACTGACCCCACCCATGCTCAGTGGTGTGGTTCGTCGCCAGCCCCGAGCCCTGGACCTCAGCTGGACAGGTGTCTCCAAGAAGCAGCTCATGTGGCTTCTGAACCGTCTGCAAGGTAGGGTGGGATGGCAAGGTAGGACAGGGTGAAGAGGGAGACAGTGCTGGGATGGAGCACCGACTTCCTGACCTCCCCTGCCCAGGCCTGCAGGAGCTGGTGCTCTCCGGCTGCTCCTGGCTCTCTGTCTCTGCCCTGGGCTCAGCCCCACTGCCAGCCCTGCGGCTCCTGGACCTTCGCTGGATTGAGGATGTTAAAGACTCCCAGCTCCGCGAGCTGCTGTTGCCTCCACCAGACACCAAACCAGGTGTGGTGTCTGTTGGCTCATCTGTAGATGGGTTGGGCAGGGGAAGGGGGGTGGGTATGAGGCCTCCAAGGTTTCTTCCAGCTCATGCTGGGTGTTAAGAGATTTGAAGAAAGGGCAGAACGCATGAGTTTGGTTAGGAGGCCTTGCTTGGCCACCGTTCATTCGTTTACTTCCCTGCTGTGTGTTGGGCCCTGTGATAGGAGCTGTGAGGGAACAGGGATGAAGGGGAAGTGGCCCCTGTGCTCCAGAGGGGAGATGATTATGTGATGAAACATGGTATAAGACAGGAGGATGGCATAAGAATTCTAGAAGAAGCCAGGGGCCTGGCTGATGGCAGATAGGAGTGAAGTCACTGGGTGTGGTGGGCGCTCCTGAAGAGCCTCCTCCAAGGGGTGCAGCGGCAATGGCCATGGAAAATGCAGGCCCAAGATGGCCAGTCACTTCCATTCGTCAAGAGGAGCCAGACACGTGGATTTTCCTGTGACATATCCTTGATTTTAAATGACAGCAGTTAATTTAACATTCTTTTCAAATTCATGTGTGGGGCAGTACATATATGTACTCTATGGCTGAGCAATAGATTTGGTCCCTGTGCCCCCTTCCCCTACGGTAAAAGAATAAGGGTTTTCCTGAGGGAATGGAGCAGAAAGAGGGATCCAGTTGACTTGGAAGGTTGCATCAGGGTGGTGGTACCCTCTCCCGTCAGGCCTGCTACCTCTTCAGCCTGGGTCAGGCCTGGGTACCCTGTCAGGTAAAGACAGCTTTTACTATTGGACACATACTCCAGCCTTGGCCTTCTGTAGGGCCCTGGAGACCTCACACAGCCCCAGTCCCTACCCTAGTAGAACCCCAGTAGTGCAGAAGAGAGAGAATCAGAAACAGAAGGTTACAGGGTGATACGGTGGAGGCTGTGGTTGGGTGTGGGGAGCAGAGAGAGAATCCCTCCTTGAGGAGGTGCTGTTTGAACTGACTCCTGAAAGGGACAGGGTTGTCCCAGGGAGTGTGAGGCAGGAGTAAGCACTTCCGTAGGGAATGAGGCCCATACTGGTAGAGGGGAATGCTGGAAGCAGACGCCCGTCACAACGGAGGTGTGGGTCAGGAGCACTGAGGCCTGGGGGCTCCTTCCTTGTCTAGCCAGGAGATGGTATGCTCACAATACAATAGCTTCTCTGGCCAGGGGAACCATCCAGAAGGGCAGATCTGTCCGTGTCACCCCTGTGCTCTAAACTCCACTCCTCATAATCTCCCAGTGCTCTTTGGATAAAGACTAATACATTGTCACTAAGGCCTGGCATGGTCTGGCTCCCACTGACCTGTGCCATCCCCACATTTCAGCCTCTTCAGCCTCCTTGCCAAGGTTCCCTCCAGCCCTCAGCCCTTTGCTTAGTCCTTTTTGTCTAGAATGCTGTACCCCCCCTTTGTCTAATTAACACCTAATCATTCTTCAGGCCTCAGCAAAAATGCCACTTCCTCCTAGAAGCCCTCCATGATCCCCCCCCCCTCCCCGAGATCAAGGTTCCTTTAGAGCTTTGAGAGCAGTTCCCTCCCAGCTATCACTGCATGGTGGTGAAGTGATTTGATGGAAACCCATTTCCTCTCCGAGTTCTAAGCTTTGGGAGGGCAGGGGCTGTGCTCACCCCAGAGCCTTGCTTTCACAGCTCACTTTTCAGTTCCCTTCTTCCCACTCCACCAACCCCACCCCCCCCACCCCCCCACCCCCGCTTCACAGCAGCCTTGGAAGGAGGTAGAGAAGCATCTAGGATTCTTCTTTCTATCTGGACAAGACACCAGAGGCTCAGAGGGGTTGACTGACTGCTGCAAGTCACACAGGCAGAGCTAGACGGGAGAACTCCCCATTGCCCACTCTTACCGGAATTGGACTGAGCCAGGGAGATTTGGGTGGGGGTGAGGGTGGGCACTGGGAACCGCGGATTCCAGGAGGTGAGAAAGTGCTGGTTGGCAGGCACCCTGATACCAGTTCCTCCTGCCTGAACTACCTCAGGAGCTTGCAGTGATGAGCCTTCCAGGCCCTGAGACCTATTGTAGTGTTGGGACTCTACACCCACTTTTCTTATCTTGGCTCCCTGGCTCTGGGCAGCATTCCTTGAGCAAAACTTAAAGTTCTTCTATTTCCTTGTGTTTGTCCCTGCTGTTCTCTGCCTGGCCTACTCTCACCCCACTCTTCACGTTCAAATCCTTGAAAGCCCAGCTTAAATGCTGCCACCTCAATGAAATCCTTGCAGATGCCCACTTCCCCTGCCCAAGCCAGAAGTGACCTGTCTGTCCTCTGCTTCCCTCTAATGACTTTTAGCTGTGGCCCAAGATTGAGGGCATCTGTAGATGGAGCCCCTTCCCAGGTTCTCAGCTCCTCAAAGGAAAAAACGAGGCAGAATTCAGAGTTTGCCAAGTCAAGTGCCCACAAAGATGGCCTGGCAGGTGACAGAGGCGACGCGCTTCGGGAATGGCTTTAGGGGATAGCATCTTGCAACCTAGTTCCCAGCTAGTCCTTTTCAGGTGAAAGGGATAGCCCAGTGGTGCCAGATCTTATAATTTTTCGGAGAAAAGCTCTATCTAAATTTCTTTATGGAAATGTCCTTTTCGTAGCGTTCGTCATTTGAGAAAAATTTCAGCACTGTGCAGATTCCATAACACATTTGGGTAGGCTAGTTTCATGAGTTGGTGATATCTGATCTGGTTTATCTATTATGGGCTAGGCTGGTGCCTGGGAGGCAGATAGTGTTGTGGTATGTTTGGTCTGGCGTCCTCTGTTACTTCAGTCATGTGACCTCGGACAGATTGCTTTAATGATTTGAGCCTCAAAGTTCTCATCTGTAAGCAGGAGTGATAATCACATAGCTGTGGTTCTTAGAGCGTGGTCCAGACCAGCAGCATCACCATTACTGGAGAACTTGTTAGAAAAACAAGCTCTGAGGCCCTACCTTAGATTCCCTAACCTCTTGTGGGTCCAGCAACCATTTTAGGCAGCCCTCCAGGGGACGCAGAAGAGCCCCTGGCCTAGGGGCAGGCCCCCACTTGGGCCCCTTGGCTGGTGCCTGGCCCGCACTGAGTACTCAATTAATGGTGGCTGGTGTTTAGGCACTTAGTTTGAAAAACAAAAAAACTTAGGGGCACTTGTGTGGCTGTTGGTTAAGCATCTCTTGATTTCTGCTCTCAGGTCATGATCTCAGGGTCAACAGATGGAGCCACCCGTCGGGCTCCATGCTGGGCATGGAGCCTGCTTAAGATTTTTTTTTTTTTATTTATTCATGAGAGACAGAGACAGAGAGAGAGAGAGGCAGAGGGAGAAGCAGACTCCCTGCTGAGCAGGGAGCCCGATGCGGGACTCGATCTGGGATCATGACCTGAGCCGAAGGCAGACGCTTAACCATCTGAGCCACCCAGGCGCCCCGCCTGCTTAAGATTCTCTCTCTCCCTCTGCCCCTTCCCTCCCCTCTCCTCTCAAAACTCAAAATGCAGGAATGTGGTAGATACAATAAAAGAAAAGCAGGCTACATGCCACATGCTTTGGGTGTAGAGATGAGGGACATGATGAGTTCTTCTTCCCTGGAGATGAGGGAAGAAGTGGTCTCTAACCTCAGATCTAAAAGCCAGGGACACCAGCCAGGCATAGGATCGAACATTAGGTGTCCGTGGGCAGAGTCTCAGAGCAGGGTCACCTGTGGAATTTGGCCCAGGTGTTTGGGAGTGTGGGAGGGGGGGTTAGGAACAGAGACAGGGATGAGCCTTTATAAGAACTGGAATGTTCTAAACAAGGAGGTGCCCTCAGAGTTTTTAGTAGAGGAGGGATGGTGCTCCACTTTTTTTTTTTAAGATTTTATTTATTTGAGAGGGACAGAGATAGCGAGAAGAGAGCACAGTGGGGAGGAGAGGGAGAAACAGGCTCCCTGATGAACCGGGAGCCTGACACGGGGCTCGATCCCAGGACCCCAGGATCATGACCAGAGCCGAAGGCAGATGCTTAACTGACTGAGCCACCCAGGTGCCCCCTGTCCCACTTGTTTGTGAGCACAGTTCTCTTTGAATGCCAGGAAGGAGAGGAGAGACTGGACCGGGTGAGGAGGCTGGGGCAGGAGTTGAGGCAAGAGTGGTGTTGTCCCCGAGGGGCGCCCGGGGAATGGAGGGGAAGGGATCCAGCTGGTGATGTTACTAATGGAAGGAGAGGGAAGTAGGAGAGCCTGGGGTGGCAGTTCCATTAGGGATGGCATTTGTCGAATGAGTGAATATATATTGAGCACCTATGTCTCAGTTGCTAGGGACAGAGCAAGAACAAGACAAAAATTCTTGCCTTTGTGGAACTTACATTCTAGTGGGAGGAGAGAAAAAAATAGGTCCCATGGTGAGAAAAGGGGGGGACAATAATGGCAGGGAAGGGGTAGGAGTATGTGGACTGTTACCATAGCAAATGGAGTAATCATGGAGGGTCTCACTGAGGAGGTGATGTGAGCAATGGATAGATTAGATGAGGTCAGGTTGAATGGGTGTTTGGGAGAAGAGCAAGCCCTGTAGAGAACGCACGTGGAGGCTCTGTTATCGTGGAAGCAGGTTTAGGGGGTGGCGAGCGATGGGAGTGTGGAGAGACGGCTGGTCTGGCTGCCGAGGGGCAGGCACAGGAGTAGCCGGGGGTGCTGACCTCTTAACCGCCTGTCCAGGGCAAACGGAGAGCCGTGGGCGGCTGCAGGGGGTAGCAGAGCTGCGCCTGGCAGGCCTGGAGCTGACAGATGCCTCCCTGCGGCTCCTGCTGCGCCACGCACCCCAGCTGAGTGCCCTGGACCTGAGCCACTGCGCCCACGTCGGGGACCCCAGCGTCCACCTCCTCACAGCCCCCACTTCCCCACTCCGCGAGACCTTGGTGCACCTCAATCTTGCTGGTAAGCATCCTGTCTGTCCATCCTGCTAGCGTGTTGGTCCCCGTGGCCAGTGCCCACCCCATACTCACCTTCGTGGTCTCCGCCGCCACTGCCGCCCCCCTCAGGTTGCCACCGCCTCACGGACCACTGCCTCCCGCTGTTCCGCCGCTGCCCGCGCCTTCGCCGCCTAGACCTGCGTTCCTGCCGCCAGCTCTCACCTGAAGCTTGTGCCCGGCTGGCAGCCGCTGGGCCCCCTGGCCCCTTCCGCTGCCCAGAGGAGAAGCTACTTCTCAAGGACAGCTAGTTGGGTGCCCCCCACCCTCCCCCAGGACTCATCAAGAGCCTTGGACCTCGGGCCTTCATTTTATCCCTGCCAGGAGGCCAGGTTACCCACCTCATGACTTGGGATTCCTGCCCAGGGACTCGAGCCAGCCTCCCCCCTCTCTACCCCCTGCACTGATATCTCTGGGGGTCTCTCCTTCCCATCCCTTCTCCCTTCCACCTGCTTCATTGTCCATCCCCTGGGGGGAGTGGGTCAGAGGTACAGGGGGGTGCTGAGCCAAAGGGATGGTGGGAGGGGGGGGGGTAAGGTGCAAGTTTGAGGGAGGGAAATGGGGAAAGGGTACCTGCACACAGGATACTGGGAGCCAGGGGGCTGGGGGAGGTGGAGGATGGGCTGGGGGAGGGGGGGCAGAAAGCAGACCACCAAGGGTTCAGGGAACAAAGACCAGACACTTGGAGTTGGGGGGTGGGGGTGGGGCCAAAAAGGGAAACCAGAGGAGCAATTGGGGATCCACGTGTCAGAGATGGGGGGGGACTCGGGGAACCAGGGGAAAGCCAGGGCTGAGAGAGGGGTGGGGGCAAAGAGCAGGTGTGGGGGCAGTAGTACCCCCCTCAGGGGGTCACACCCCTCTCCTTACTCCCTCCCCAGATTTCAGTTCCTTCCCCCCCAACCCTGACTCCTTGAACGTCACTGACAATGGCAGCTATTGCGAGGAGTGGGGGCCGCGGGCCTACCCGCTGTTCAGCGTGGCCCAGGGGAGTGGTGAGGGGTACCCCAGCCCCCTACCTGTCTCCCCGCACAATACTTGAACATTCATCTGTACTGAAGTGTTACTTGAACCGGGGGAACCTCGGACCTGGGGGAGCCGGAGTGAGGGGACTGATCGGCTTGGACTGAGACTGGTCTGGTGGGCACCCAGCTTGGACTGCGCCACCCCCAGGCTCTCTCTTGCTTTACTGTATTGAGCAGCTCCACCCCTCCTGACCTAAGGTGGGGGTGGGGGTGGGGTGCCAGCCCAATGATGGGGAAGATGGGACTCCTCCAGCTTGGCTCTTCCCACTCTTTCATCGTCATGGAAACTTGTATCCCATTTGCCCAGGGAACTGCCACTCCTGGTTGCCATGGAAATAGCAGCCAATGGACACCTCCCGAAGCCAGTGCTAAGGCTGGAAATGGCCCCTCTTAGTTGCCATGGGAACTTAGTAACAGACTCGGCCCTCCCCCACCCTCCTCGGGGCGGGGGGCGGGGCTTGGGGAGCCAGGGGGAGGAGTTGGGGCCAGGTCCCGCCCCTCAGCCCAGGTCCCACCCCGGGGGAGCCGGGTTGTACCATGTAGGGGAGGGGGGATCTATCCACATACCTCAGGTAACAGGGAGGTGCGAGGGTGGGGGGAGGGACTGGGCGGACCAAAGGCCGGAGGGGAGGGGGTTCTGGGTATCGCGAAAGGCTTGAGGATGGGGCCGCTTGGGGGAGGGGGAGGAGGCAGCCCGGCGGGGGCAAGTGGGGGTCCCAGCCGGGCTGGGCCCCTGGGCCCCAGGTCTGTACAATACGGTTTGCTATAAAACTCAAAATCTTCCAGCCAGGGCCGCCGCATTCGTGTGTCTCTCACCGGCGTTGGGGTGGGGGGAGGAGCTGGGACGACTGGCTAAGGGGGCTATTTGGATGGATCTGGGGGTCCTTAGGACTTCCCAGGCTTCTCGGAACTGAGGATGCCGGACCCCCTTTGGTGCCTACAGGTGGATGGGTTCACCTTCCCCCAGCTCACTACTTACGGGGAGGGGTTTGGAGATCTGGGCATCTTAGGGGTGTCCCAAGTGTGCCGAATTGTCCAGGGCCCGGGAACTCCCAGCCCTAGGCTGGGGCGCGGGCGCCTGGGTGATAGTGAAGTGGCCTGGGGTCGCGAGGTCCCTCGGGATCTCTGCCGACGGTCTTTCGTTCCCCCCGCCTGAGCTCCACCCCATCCTGTGGCCGCTCGGGCTCCGGCTCCGCCTCCGCCCCAGTTCCGGTTTCGGCCTCTGTTATCCTGCTTTGGCCCCTGGGGCTCCTCGCAGACGCCTGCTTTCCCTGCTGCACACGGGCACCTCTTCCTGGGCGCCCGCCGCCGCCGCCGGCATCCCCGCTCGCCCCGCCCGGGGATGGGGCCTTCCGCCGGCCTGGGCCGGCCCTCATGGGGCACCCGGGGCGACTCGGCGCCCCCGTGACCACCCAGCCCGCCCAGTGCTGCGGCCCCCAGGATGAAGGGCGGCGAGGGGGACGCGGGCGAACAGGCCCCGCTGAACCCGGAGGCCGAGAGCCCCGCGGGCTCGGCCACATACCGAGAGTTCGTGCACCGCGGCTACTTGGACCTCATGGGGGCCAGTCAGCACTCGCTGCGGGCCCTCAGCTGGCGCCGCCTCTACCTCAGCCGGGCCAAGCTCAAAGCCTCCAGCCGCACGTCTGCCCTGCTCTCGGGCTTCGCCATGGTGAGGGGAGGAAAGGGGTGCACAGGGTGGGGGTGAGGCACATGGGGGCAGGGGGTCGCGGGCCAAGTAAACGGGTACCCAAGGGAGATGGGACAGAAGAAAGGGAAAGCAAGGGTTTTTAAGAGGTAAAGGAGTACAAACAAGGTCCCAAGGGACTACTCGAGTCCCGTTTTACGGGTGTGCGTGCGTGCGTGTGTGTGTGTGTGTGTGTGTGTAAACAGACCCCTAGTCATGAAGGGAGACAAATCACTGAGGGGGATACATATGCGAGGGTGGGGCAGAGAGGTCCAGAAGGAGCGTGGTCCCAGACAGAAGTCATTACCAAGTTCCCCTGAGAGATTTCAAACGCAAATCAGAGCTGGGTGGGGGCCCTATAAACAGGACTGGGAGAGTCAAAGAAGATAAACTGGATGCAGTAGTCCCCCAATTGAAGGCGGCCCCGTCCCCAGGAGGATGGCCAGTCCCTAGCAGACACAAAGAGGGCTTGGTGTAACCCGGGACAGCTTTGAGCAGAGAGAATGCCCCTGAAGAAGCTGCTGGGGAAAGAAGGTGATTAGGAAGCTGAGACATGATTCCTGATCTGATAAACTGCAGGTGTGGGAGGATGGTATCAGCTAACGGTCCCCGCGGAGGCCTCACAGGAAATGGGACTGAAGCAGTCCCAGGGTCAGGAGGACCTGACTCCTCTGGGCCTGTGGCCAGCCGTGTGACCCTGGACAGGCATCCAACCCCTCGAGGGCCAGTGGGAAACTGAGATCATAGAGGCTGTGCCCTCTGTAGCCTGCAAATAGCTGCCCCAGGATGAGCTGATTCTTGCCAAACTCTAGATCCCAGCATGTCAGAGCAAGACACACATCAGAGATGGCTCAGACTACCTGTTTATTGGGCAGGCATAGAAACCAAGGCCCTTAATGGGGCAATGCCTCTGCCAAGAGTGTTCAGCAGATGAAAGCTGCAGAATGATCTAGAACCCTGGATCACTGAACTGTTGTTAGTCCAGAGTTTCTCCACCATCATGATGGGAAGGAGAAAGCAAGCTAGAGGGGGGGTTCTTCATAGGAACCTATGGAGATGGGGATGGAGGGGTCACAGCAGTAGGTGATTTGCGTTAGTCTCTGCCCTGCTCTTTCCCAGAGTCTCTGTATTTGAATGATGAGAGGAAAAGTCTATCCCTAGGGGTCATCCAGGGTCTATGGTTTTCTCTTTGAGGGCCCAGTATCCATAGGCCAGCCCACTTTTCCTGATGTGGGGTCAGCTAGGGACAGGGAAGTGACTCCCTTTCACCTGTATAGACTGCAGAGGGAAGGAAGTGACTTCATGGATCTAGCTGACTGAGGGAAGTCCCCCACCCCCATCCATCCCATGGTCCAGCCTGTTCCCAAGGGGACAGTCCAGCCTGCTGCTGGACTTGCACGTTGCTGGGGTGACAGCTTACATGCCAGGACCTTCCCTACAGGATCAAAAGGCCAGATGAGTAGGTTCTGGGGGCAGGACTGGCCCCAGTCCTGCTAGGGGAGAGCAAGGCTGGGTCAGCCTCTGGGAGAAACCAGGCCTAGGCCTGGCCCAGATCTCTGTCTGTGGAAACTGCTAACACTTGCCATGGCCCAGTTTCCCAAAATACTTAGCTTTGTCTTCCTAACCACCACCCTCCAGACTCTGTACCTTCTTCCTTCCCCCAGCCCCAGAGCAATCTAATGGGTCCTGCAAGGACCAGGCATGGGGAAAGATCCAGATTCTGATATTTGGGTAGCCTGGGTTAGAATCACATTATACAAATTGTATTGCCCTGTCATGCAGTACCAGGTAATGTGTATCCCATGTCATGCAGTACCAGCTTTTATGTGTATCACATTTATTATTCTATGAAGTAGGTACCACTACTATGGCCATTTTACAGATGAGAAAACAAATCAGAGATGTTAAGACACCTGCCCAGGATCTCACAGCAAGTAAGCGGCAGAATTTGAACTTAGGTAGTCTGGCTCTGGAATCCAAATTTATACAACTCTAGAATAGGATCATCAATGCAAATGTTTGCAAAGGACAGGCAGGTATTATGGCCTGAGTGGGGATGGCTATCGGGAGACCCTGTGACCTGTCCAAACGGAGCAGTCATGACTCAACTCTAGCTGATAGTTGACATGTAGGAATGTGGGTCTGATGTAACCAGATCTTCCAAATTTTCAAGGGGATCTAGAAATAGGAATATTTATAGGAAATCTCTTGAGTTTTAAAAGTGCAGCCTAGTTCCTTAAAAAACACTGTATGAGCCAAGCAAAACATGTGTGCAAAGTTGGCTTGGGTTCATGGTATACCAGTTTGCAAACTCTGGCCTTGGACTTCATTCAGTGTTCTTAAGAGCCTTGCTCTCCCCTAACACTAATAATAACACTAGTATTACAAACAGTTAATAACTGTAATAATAACAACAAACACCTAGCGCTTACTGTGTGCCTTACACTATGCTTAGTGCTTGGTGTACATTATCTCATTTAATTTTCACAACAACCCTGTAAGGCAAGTAGGTGCCATTATCAATCCCCACTTTCCAGATGAGGAAATTGAGGCATAGAACTAAATCACTTGCTCAAGATTCCACAGCTTGTAGAGCTGAGAGTAATCCCAGGCGGCCCAGCTCCAGAATCTGCTTTAAAAAAAAATTTTTTTTATTTATTAGAGAGAGAGTGTGTGTGTTGTGTGTGTGTGCAGTGGGAGAGGGAGAAGCAGACCCCTGCTGAGCAGGGAGCCTGATGTGGGGCTCCATCCCAGGACCCTGGGATCATGACCTGAGCTGAAGGCACGCGCTCAACCGACTGAGCCACCCAGCCACCCCCAGAATCTGCTTTTTTAACCCCCCTAACAAGGTCAGATTTTCAGAAATGTGTCATCTAATGTGTCAGCCCTCTCAATAGCCAGGTGCAGAAACCAAAGTCAGAACAGCACAGAGCCTTACCAAGGTGGCCAGTTCATTCACTCAACAGAGACTAAGCACCTTCTTCCTGCCAGGCACCGTTCTTGGCCCTAGGGATGCACTGGTGATGTATGCCAACAGGCAAAACAACTCTCTACTGCCAAAGAGGTTGTGGGCACTCAATCCGTCTCCTCTGTCCCCATAGGTGGCCATGGTGGAGGTACAGCTGGAGAGCGACCATGAATACCCGCCAGGCCTGCTGGTAGCCTTTAGTGCCTGCACCACCGTGCTAGTAGCCGTGCACCTCTTTGCACTCATGGTCTCCACGTGTCTGCTGCCCCACATAGAAGCTGTTAGCAACATCCACAACCTCAACTCTGTCCACCAGTCGCCACACCAGCGACTCCACCGCTACGTGGAGCTGGCCTGGGGCTTCTCCACTGCCTTGGGCACCTTCCTCTTCCTCGCTGAAGTTGTCCTGGTTGGCTGGGTCAAGTTTGTGCCCATTGGGACGCCCTTGGGCACACCAGCCCCCGTGGTACCTGCCTCCCAGGTGCCTGGGACTCTGTTACCACTGACCACCTCCCTTCGTCCAGCTTCCAAGGCGTTCTCTACTTCTGTAGCTCCATCACGGGCTGAGCCATCTGAGGCCTGCCCACCCCGGCAAGCGTGTGTTGGTGGAGGAGGGGCCCATGGGCCAGGCTGGCAAGCAGCCATGGCCTCCACAGCAATCATGGTACCCGTGGGGCTTGTGTTTGTGGCCTTTGCCCTGCATTTCTACCGCTCCTTGGTGGCACACAAGACTGACCGCCACAAGCAGGAGCTGGAGGAGCTGAGTCGCCTGCAGGGGGAGCTGCAGGCTGTGTGAGGCCCATGTGTGCCCTCCGGTCTGCAAAAGGACCGTAGTCTCAAGACCCCATTCCCTGCCCCTGCCTGGAGCCGCTTCTTGTGTCCACTCCCAGGTAGAGACCAGATTCCTGCCTTCAGGGTCCTTTGGCCTGGGCCTTGGGGCAGCTTCCACATTCCCAGGGATTCTCCCTGTCAGTCTATCCCAGTCTGTCTACTCTACATCTGGGCTGGGAGGAGCAAGCGAGGAAGTAGCAGGTCTTCAGTCCAAGGATCATGGTAGGTAGAGGGGAGGCAGGGAGATCCTGGTCAGACCTTTGGTGCTGACCCTTAGCCACTTATCCCTGAACAGGATGTGGAGGTCAGAAGGTTACACACCCACCCAGCTGCCTCAGAAGGCAGTCAACCCTTGCTTTATTTTTGTAGAATCTACTTTGTGGTTGGCATTTGGGGGAAGCTTTCCCCCATCTCCAGATTGTGGTGGGTTCCACATTCTTGCTTTAGTTGCCGTAGAGAAGGATTTGAGTGATTCTACCACAGACATAGGTCCAGCCTTACCTAGGAGGAGCCTCCCTATTTTTGGAGGTTCAAGTGCCTGCCCCACTGCCCTACACCCACACTTAAGCTTCTGTGTCTGGTTCTCACTCTCCTAGGCCAGGGCTGGAGATCTTTGGAGTCTGAGGGCCCGTGTGCCCAACCTGACTCCCTAGAAAGGGTCTTGGGGTGAGAAGGTTTTAAGGGAGAAGGTCC